AGGAGGTGGAACAGGGCCAAAGTCTGTCCACCTTGGCTCTCAAGGAGTTGGAGGTGCCCATCAAGTGGGAAGCAGGATCACCCTGGGTAGAAAGGACAAACATGGCCATAAGTGGCTTGGCTCCCTAGAGAGGAACATCCCGAGCACGGCAGTGGCCAGCTCTGCAGGAAGGCTCGGGTGGGCAGCCAGGACAGAGCGAGGCAGGACTGCTGAGCTTGGCCCTGCTGTCACCTGGGGCTCTGGCTTTGTGCCCAGTGGGGGCTGGCAGGACTCCAGGGCCTGCCTGGCCCCTGCCAGAGCCCCTCCCTGGGCAGGGCGGGGTGATCCTGACAGCTAGGGCTGGCAGGGAGCCTGTGGGCTGGCCCCACTGCTCAGCAGGGTCTGAGCTTCAGGCAGAAGTTGTCTAATCCTTCTTGACTAGAGACATCTAACCTCTTTGGACATCAAGATCCCCAACCACCTGGGCCAGGAGCTCTGAAATCCCAAAAACTCTCGGTGCCCAGTCCCCTTGGGCTTGCTTGCCTAAATCTCGTGAGCCCAGCATCTTCACCCTCCCCAATGGATCCCAAATCCTTTGGCCTCTTGTTCCTAAATCACTTGGGCAGACAGTGCCTGACTCTTTCAGCCATGGAGGATTCCAAATTGTGTACTTCAGGGTACTGAAATCCTTGGCCTGGAGGCACCTAATCCCTTAGGGCTCTTGTTCGTAAGACCCTTGGACCAAAAGCTCCTGACCACCTAAGCTGAAGCCCCTGAATGCCTTTCAAGAGCCTGGTGCCTAATTGCCCTGGAATGAGTGGCCTAAACCACTCTGGCCATAGTATTCCCCAGTCAGCTGTAGTGGAGGATGGAGATACTTTGTCCAGCTGGAACAGGTTGCCCAGAGAAGCTGTGGAAGCTCCATCCCTGGAAGTATTCCAGCCAGTTGGGTGGGGCTCTGAGCAACCTGGTCTAATGGAAGATGTCCCTGCCCACAGCTGGGGGTGTTGGAACTAGATGGTCTCTAAGGACCCTTCCAACCCAAACCATTCTATCATTCTATGACTCCTTGTGTTTTAAGCCCCTGGACCTGTGGCTCACAAACCCCTTTGGCCAGAGGCACTCAAATTTCTTGGGCTTGGGTATCTAATTTTTACCTGGTAAATCCTAAACCTCTCGGTCCAACAGACTCTCAGCTGGATGCACCCAATCCTACAGACCCTTGGTTCATTATCCACAGTGGTGGGCACCCATAACCCACTTAGGATCAAAGTCCCTTGTTCTGAGGACCTCAAATCCCTTAGATGGGGGCACCTAGTGCCCCTGGGCTTGTTGATCCTTAAGGTCCATGATTCCCTGTTGCTCCAAAATCCCAAACCCCCTCAGGCCCTAGTCCACGACCCCCTTACAGTTCCTAAATCCCATGGGTGCCTTTTCTCCAGGATTCTTTAGACTCCGGGCATCCCAAATCGCCTGGCTTTGGGCTGCCTAAACCCTTTGGGACAGAGCCTCTCCTCCAAAGAAGACGCCGAACGCCTCCCAGGGAAGGTATCCGAGTGCCTTCCAGCCGGCGGAGCCGCAGCAGCCCCACCCCACCCCGCCCGGCTCGCTCGGCTCGCTCGGCTCGGCTCGGCTCGGCTCGGCTCCTCCCCTCCCCGCCCGCCGGGGGGCGGTGCCCCGGTGGCCAATGGTCATTGGTCTGTAATTAACCCGTGGTTAATTACCGCCGCCTGGCCGCCGTAGCCCCGCCCCGGGGTGGCCCGGAGCGGCGAGATGTGGCGCTCGGCAGCGGCGGTGCGGGCGCTGCGGGCGCTGCGGGGCGGGGGGGCCGGCGGGGCCGGCGCCCCCCGGGCCGCGTCCGGAGCGGCGGCGGCTCGGCTCCGGCAGCGGCTGGAGAACGAGCTGGAGGACATCCGAGGCGCTGGCACCTGGAAGAGCGAGCGGGTCATCGCCTCCCGACAGGGTCCCCACCTGCGCTTGGCGGGCGGCGGAGGCGGTGCGTGCGGGGCGGGCGGCGGCGAGGGGGGCTCTCGGCCTCCTCTTCCCCCGGTGCGATGTCCCCGCTTCTCTGTGTTCCCGCAGGGATCATCAACTTCTGTGCCAATAATTACCTGGGTCTCTCCAGCCACCCCGAGGTGATCCGTGCCGCCGTGGAGGCCCTCGAGAAGTTCGGCGCTGGGCTCAGTTCGGTCCGCTTTATCTGCGGTACCCAGGTACCGGGCATCCGGGCAGCATCCCCTGCACCGCGGTAGTCTTTCGCAGGGTGTCCACGCAGACTCCCCTCTCGACACTCGCATGCGTGCACAGCCGTAAGGTACACGTGGCTCGGTGAAAAAAAGAGCCTTCTAGGTCCCCACTAGCCAAAGATCTGGAAATATGCCAGTTTAAACCATTACAACACCTGAGAGCAAAGAAACGAAACACCACTCTGAATTCAGAAAATTAACGTCTTTTTCCCTCTCTTGTGGGTCAAAATTACAGTCAACCTGATTTGAAGTGGCTCTATCAGACCCACCCCAGTTTATCCCTGCTGGAGCCCTTTCAGAGCGCTGGCTGGTTAAGTGCAAAGAAAACTCAGAGCTGCTCCCCTGTGCTTGGGGAGCTCCCTGCTGAGGTTTTGGCATCCAAAACCATAATCATATTTCAGGGAACACAACTAACTTCTCCCATGCACACATTTTTCTGAATAAAACCTGGCTGTTTCCTCCCCTTACAAGTCAGCATTTAACCTCAGTGGGCAAGCAAGAACTTGTGCTGCTCCACCTCTGACTTTCACTCTCTCTTCCCTTTAGAGCATTCACAAGGACCTGGAGGAGAAAATCGCACGCTTCCACCAGAGGGAAGATGCCATTCTCTATGCCAGCTGCTTTGATGCCAACGCTGGTATCTTTGAGGTTTGTAGGGCTTCCTGAGTGTTGTGCATGGAGGAAGGAGGTGACAGCAATGTGCCTGCTGTGTCTTCCAGAGGCTCTGATGTGAGCTGTGTGTGCCAGAAAAGATGGCAGTGACTAATGGTGAAGAGCCCCGACTTAAGGTCCTTGGACTGGGGAAGCCACGCAGAGGCATTTAATCAGCCTTCACCTCCCCTGTCCCCAGCCAGCTCCAGCTTTTGGGGAGGGCTCTTGTTTCCTCAGAGATCTGTACTTCCCCTTAAAGTGTAGGTGAGGGAATGGGCGATCTTCCAGGCTTGCTAGGGGGGAGGTTTTGAGCTCAGAAGCCACAGACAAGAGCCTGGCCTAAAGAAATCAGGGGATAAGGTGGCTGGGAAGGAAAGTGGAAAATTTAGCAGTGCCAGGAGAGACATGGCAGCTGCAATCAATTGCAGCCTTGTCCTCTGTACCGAGAGGGGCTGAAACATCTTGGTGAGGTGCCACAACAGAGCTAAGGATGATCCTTTTTGTTTGGTGTGGCCAGGCCCTGCTGACCCCAGAGGATGCAGTGTTGTCGGATGAACTGAACCACGCCTCCATCATCGATGGGATCCGCCTGTGCAAGGCCAACAAGTACCGCTACAAGCACATGGACATGCAGGACCTGGAGGCCAAGCTGCAGGAAGCGCAGGTATGGAGGTCTGCTCCCACCCGAACACGAGGGCACTCACTTAGCTGTGCTACCTGTGCAGTAACCAGCCCTGAATGGTGAGCTCTGCCTTTTCCCATGCAGTAGGCATTGTTTATGCCGACAGGCACAGACAGGCATGGATAGACAAGATGGCAAAGCAGCCGGTTGCAATGCAAATCCCCCCAATTTCAGTTAGATATATCAACTCTCTACAGGAGTTAAGAGTATGTCCTGGTCTCCTTTGCCAGCCCTTCTCCTCAGGGTGAGATCCTCACCCCTGGGGATGCCTCTTTCCCTCTAACAGAAATATCGTCTGCGGCTGGTGGCAACTGACGGTGCCTTCTCCATGGATGGTGACATTGCACCCCTGAGGGAGATCTGCCAGCTGGCCCAGAAGTATGATGCCCTGGTCTTCATTGATGAATGCCATGCCACAGGCTTCCTGGGACCCAATGGTCGGTAAGTGACTGTTTCTACTCTCTTTCCCCCCCTACCCTGACTGATCCTGAAGCAAGGCAAAGGTGCTGATGACCAACATATTATGTGTGGGGACTCCCAGAGTCACCATTTCTTGGAGGCTTTGCACCTCACCTTTGGATTTGAAGGGAGATACTTTAGCAATGACCCATCCCAAAGTAACAGCTGCTTCTCAGTGTGTAAGGGATAGTGTGACCATCTCATCTGCCTCTCCTGGCAAGCAGTTGGACTTCCTGATTCCCAAATCCTTCTCCTGTCAGATACTAATTTCAAATTCTTAGGTTTGTGGAGCTAGCTTGCACAGATTGATTAGTTTCCTCGGGGCAGCTTTTGCCTCCATCGCCTGGAGCTCCTCCAGATGCCAAGCAAGGGCACATGGTGCAGGTGTTTGCCAAGAAGAGATGCTTCATGTGTTGTTTTGAGAACTAAGCAAGGACACTTGCCTTGTTTTCTTACCAAGGCCATAGCAGGTGTTTCATCCTCCCTCAAAATGGTGGCGCAAAAGGCATCTTTTAAGAGAAGGGATACCACTCCTGGTGGCACTTCATCAATAACAAGAGGTGGCAGAACTCAAATATATTTCAGACCCTGTAGTTGTACTGAACTTTCTCAAATATAAGTCATCATAAGGATCTATGACAAGACTACAAGACAAATAGATCTATTTGTCTTGTAGTCTTCGTCCCTTGGGGCATGGTAGTCATCCCATGAGTTGAGGTAGATCTTGTCACTCTGTCCCAGTGGTCTCTGTGGTCCCACCAGCTGCAAAAACATCTGTCTGACTGCACTGAGGTGTGTAAATGCACAATGGCTTGAGGAGGAGGGAACAGTTACTGAATACTTCATGAGTTGTGCTAGTCTGGGTGTGAACGTGGTGGTGTTGTCGACAGCACTGTTTCAAGACAGCTCACAGCTGGATGACCATGCCTCATCTTGCCTTTTTGGGTTGGAGAACATGAAGCTGCAGAGCACGTTTACTACATCTGCTTGGTTCCACTAGTGAAACCTACAACAGCTGATGCTTTGTTTGGACTATTAAACTTCTGTGTGGGAAGTTTGAGCACTCTCCCATCTGTAAGGGATGAAGAACCCATGCTCTCATCTCACAAGATCCCAGCGTAGCCTTTCTGCAGGAGAGGAAGGTCAACACTTGTGTGGTACTATCACAAAGGGCTGTTCTTCCTTTTCCTGAAGGGGGGACACCAGAGACCTGGCTAGTGGCACTTTGTTTCCCTTGAGGCATCAAGCAACTTCCCTGGTGTGTGCTGTCACAGCTGATAATGTGACATTTCTTTTTCTGCAGGGGTACTGATGAGCTCCTGGGAGTGATGGACAAAGTCACCATCATCAATTCCACCCTGGGAAAAGCTCTTGGAGGAGCTGCAGGTGAATGCATTTTTCTGTTCAAGATCCTGCATGCCCTTAAGAGCTTCCACAGTATTTGCTTATGTTTTCTTCCTCTACCTAATGATACAGCAACAAATGCGTATTGTCTTCTTCTGCTGGTGGCATGAGGCTTCGTTTGTTATGCTGCTGCAGGGTCAAGGGCGATCCTAGCACGTGCTCCTTCCACTGTCATCCTCCTCATGCATTTGCCTTTGGTGTCAAAGTGGAAACTTTTGGTCAAAAGCATCAGCTGTGATTTTTAGGCCTGGTTTGTACTGAAATTCCTGCTGTAGGAGCCATTTTGGCTTTATTGAGAAGTCCCACTCTCAACAGGTCACCCTGGGGTGCCTTGTCCAATTCTCTCTCCTTCATCTGCAGGTGGGTACACAACCGGTCCCAAACCCCTCATCGATTTGCTCCGCCAGCGGTCCCGCCCGTACCTCTTCTCCAACAGCCTACCCCCCGCTGTGGTGGGCTGTGCATCCAAGGCCCTGGACCTGCTTATGGAGAGCAATGCCATTGCACAGTCCATGGCTGCCAAAACCCAACGGTGAGAGGGCCATATTGGGGTGGGAGCAGGGACAGCTTCATTAGGAATGAGTTGTCTATGTGTATTTATTCACCCCCACCTCCCTTGTGATAGCTGTAAAGGTAGCTTGCAAGTCAGAGCTCTGGGGTGCTCAGGGGAAGCTCCAGGATGTACCTGTGTGTGTCAGACAGATGTGCAGGCAGGTATGTCATATCTGGATGCCCTGTGTGCTGGGACACATCTGCCCCTCAAGGATCTGCAGTCCCATTTTGGTGAGCAGGACATGGCAGGAGGTCACTCCAGGAAGAGACATCTTTTCCCTGCCCAGAGGATGCACAGTGGAGCAAAACTCACCCAGCCCCAGTGGCCAGGGCTCCCAGGGGAAAGAAAAACAGCAGTCCCCAAGGACAGGGGTGATGAGGTTTTTATTAATCCTCTTGTTCTCCTCACCAGGTTCAGAAGCAAGATGACGGCAGCTGGCTTCACTATCTCGGGGAAAGACCACCCCATCTGTCCGGTCATGCTGGGGGATGCTCGGCTGGCTTCAGTCATGGCTGAGGACATGCTGAACAGAGGTGAACTGGGGGGAGAGCTCTGTGTGCAGACACATTCCCTGAGGGAAGGGATGGTTGTTGGTGGTGCTACCACCAGCCCTCCTCCAGAGGATGTTTCTGGATGAAATCTCAAATTTAAGTCATCATAAGGAACTCTTCCACTCTCCAGCTGCAAACATCCTCCTGGTCTCCCCCAGATGTTTCTTCTTTCTCTACTGGGGAGGGGGTTTAGATTGATGCTCTTGTCCTGCCATGCTGGACTCCATCCCCCATAACTGGCTGTAACCCTCATTTCCATGCTTGGGAGAAGATGGCATTTGAAAACCCTGAAGGCTGGAAGTGGTTATTGAGAGGAGAGGGAGGATCCAAAAGCCGTTCTATCACCCAGTATCCATCAACCTGCCTCTCTCCCTCCCAGCCAGTTCTGATTCTCCCTGTGTTTCCTTCCCAGGCATTTATGTCATTGGCTTCAGCTACCCCGTGGTCCCCAAGGGAAAGGCCCGCATTCGGGTCCAGATCTCAGCTGTGCACAGTGACGAGGACATCGACCGCTGTGTGGACGCCTTCACCGAGGTGGGACGGAAACACGGAGCGCTGCGTTGAGGGGCCAGCAAACACCTCCTACGGCACCATCCCTGCCCACAACCAAGTGCCTCTGCTGGGGGGAAAAGGGCTTGAGCAGCACGCTGCCAAAAACAGGACTGATCCTCAAGGCACGGCAGCCTGCGGGAGGCCGTGGCTGTTGCAGCGTGCTGGCAGTAGCGCTGGCAACCAGCTCTTGTGTCATTAAAGGTGTCCTGCAGTGCAGTGGATATTTGTCTGCCTCTTGTTTTCTCATTCAGGAGCTGCACCCCATCCCCTTCCTCTTGTGCTGTGACCACACACTCTGCTGTATCTTCCCTGAAGCCTCAGTCCAGATGCTGAAGCACTGCAGTTCCTGTTCTCTCCTGCTGATGGAAATACAGCGTTGCTGGTGTGCTTTGAGGTTGCCTGCTTCCTCTATGCTCTCTTCTGGGTCCAGCAGCATCACTGGCAGATCTGCCTGTTGCAATTCCCCACCAAGGCAGGGGTGTTTCCCAAGCCCTTTGCAATCTGTGCCACCAGCAGCTGGTTAGGGAAAGAGGACATGGGCCAGCCAGAACTCCAGTATTGCTTTCTTTCCTTCTTGCTCTCGGGTGTTAGATGTGAGGCTTGCTTGGTCCTCAGGACCAGCTATAAGGCTTTTCCAGTTGCTGTGGTACTCCCAAAACTGCCCTGGGAAAGTCATCTTGCCCCAGAGGGGCCATCGGGCAGTGGGCAGAGGCCAGCAGCATGGCAAGAGGGCCTGTGTCAGCCAGAGGCAGAGCAGGGGACAGAAACCTGTAATTTTCCTCCATCAGGCAGGAATCTCTGGATTTGTTCCTCCAAGATGTGTTGGCGTAGCATTTGAGCATTAAAGCAGGAACAAGTGGGTCCTGGGCATCACAGGATTGCTTTGTTTGCATCAGTTTTGCTCTAGAAGTCACATGTGTCCTGCCACCTGCCCACGTGCTGAATGAGTACTTGCAGCTGGAGACAGATTCCAGCTGGAATGGAGTGTGCTGTGCCCAGGTGCTGGAGCACTGAGTCACATCAGCAAAGACCTGCTCTGAAATTGCTCATGCCCTTGGGCAGTCAGGGAGTGAGCTACAGGGCAATAGCATGTCTGACCTGAACCAGAGCAACTGCAGAAGAATACCGGAGTTAATCCAGGGTTGCAAAGGGCAGGGGAGAAACGTGTTTCTGATAGGGCTGCAACCAGACCTTGTTAGAACAGCTGGTAGCATAACTGCTGATTTTGTTTAATTTGCCTGCTGATAAGCTATGATATGGAGTTCCCCTTCTGTGGCACCAGACACACTCACAGTGCTGCAAACCCTTTTCAACAGGCAGTATTTTGACATGGAGAATGTAATGGGGAAAGGGCAGGGGGATGTGCTCAGGCCCCTCTTGCAACATGGAAGAGATGAAACTTCAGCCAGATGGGATCTGGTACAGGGGCTTGAAACCCTAAACTGAATCACTGTTGTTTTAAGCCCAATGCATGTGCACACACCCCACCCTTTGCTCCCCCCTACCTGCACACCTCCATTGTACACCTGTACCATGCTCCCTAGCACCTCTCTCCTGCTGGTCCCCAGCCCTGGTCTCCCCCCTCCCCTGGCCTTCTGCAGGCAGTCTTGCTGTTGTCTCTGCTCTGTCCATGGCAGCTAACCCAAACAGTTTAACCCTGCTCCAGCTTTGAAGTCCTCCTGAATGGGAGAACAGCCATACAGATGTCTTGCTGCTCAGCTGCAAGCCAGAGCAGCAGCAGCCCCCCTCCTGTGACGCACACAATTGTTCTTGTGTGCACATGGGGGCTCCCCCCTCACCAGGTGCACCAACCTCCCTCTCCCCTCCATATCTCTCAGGCCCCTCGGCAGCCAACTCCCTGCACTCTGCCTCTCTGCCTGCTTCAAGGTCAAGCTCTGCTGCAGACTGTGGAGCTGTCTGGGGAGCAGACTGGGGAGCGCTGGAGCCCTGGGAAAGCAGGAGGGTCAGATGATGGCACGCTGGAAACGAATAATGCAGCGCCCATCAACTGCAAGGCATCATGTTAATATTGCAATCCCAGGCAAAGCCTCCAGCTCTTTATTTCTTAAAGGCCTCCCAGCCTAGATGTGATTTACAGCTCCATGCAGCTTTTAGCCCAGAAAGCAGAGGACTTTTTGCTGGGTGGAATGAAGAGGCAGACGCTGCTTTTCAAGGATGCAGTTCCCAGCTTAGGCTCCCTGACCCACCTCAGACCTTACATGCTACTCTGACAGTCCTGAGTCTGGAGCTGTCCCTCACATCATGGGATAGGTGGGGGGTTCATGTATCTTACCCAGTAGAGGACTGTCCTATCCCATCCCATTTCCATATGCACCCAACCCTACAGATGCTTCCAGCCCTGGGTCCCTGTCTACCCCCTACTTCTATCCTTGTTAGGCTGCCTCGTTGCAGTCCCAAAACTGCCCCTCTACCTGCTGATGCCCTACAGTCTCTCTAACCACCACTGATTCCACCCTGAGCTGTGACCCACCTCCCTCTACCCCTTCCCTGCTGACATTTCCCTGCCCTCGCTCCCTGCCTGCTCCCCTACCCAAGCAGGCAGGGATGCCCCAGCTTGGACTGAGTCATCTGGGGCTGATGCAAACAGGGTCTGAGCCTGCTGTTCGGTTCCACGATTTTCCCATTCCGTATCCTTTTCTGGAGATAAATGCTGCACAAGGGCCTCCACTGGAGCTAATGCCTCCCTGTGGAGGGCAAGGGGCAAAGCAGCTGCATCCCACCCAAGGGTTTTGGCAAGAAAGAGCAATGACAGCAGCCGTCCGTGCTTCCTTTCTGGAGGTTTATTTCTCTGTTTGGGGATTCCCCCCAGATCCAAGGGTGAATCCAGGCAGACTCTCGCCTTTTCAGACCTTTTGGCTACAAGAACAGGTACCATGGGGTCCCTCCATAGCCCCCTGCAGCCCCCTCAGCGGCAGGAACACTTGCAGGCAGTCACAACAGGGTAGGGGATCTGCCGCCAGGTGCAGTTTGGTGGGCCTGGGTGCTGGGGGACCCAGCAGTGCCAGGCCAGCAGCTTGATGCGAGTGAGCTGTGTGGGGCGGCAGATCATGCCAGGGGGCCAGGAGCAGCCGGGGGGTCTGGTGTCACAAGCAGTGTGGCGCACCCAGCGGGGCCAGAAGACGGGTCCCAGGTCAACCCAGGTGGAGGTGAGGCGGCAGGCAGCCAGTTCCACCAGCCACTGCCGCAGGTGGCGGGCCAGGGCCCCAGGTAGCTCAGGGGGCAACCCCGGGCCAGGGGGCAGCAGGTTGGGCAGCTCCAGTCCCTCCACCTCTCGCCACAGCTTGCGGCGGTAGCGCCCAGCACCCTCTGCCAGGTCCCTGCTCATGGACTCCAGGTTCTCCTCGAGGATGCTGCTGTTGCGACCCCGGGGCTCCTCGATCGCCATCCAGAAGGGGTCGAAGGCTGAGCCTAGGAGCCGGCGCAGCCGCCCAGGGCGCAGGTGCCGGGGCTTGGGGGAGTAGTGGTAATCCTCAGGGGACAGCGAGAGGCTGTAGGGCCGCACTGGGGCTGAGGGGCGGCCACGCAGCAGGTGGGCAGTGGGGTCAGCGGTGCTGGACAGTGTCAGTGGCAGATCCTGAGGTTCCTCCAGAGGCAGTGGTGGGCTTGGAATGCCCAGTGGTGGGAGCAGGCAGAGGAGGAGGAAGAGGAGGCAGCAGCGGTGTGGTCCCTCCATGGTGAGCAGTGCTGTGGCAGGGTACAGGCTTGTGCTCCGCCGCATCCCCCGGGTTATCACCACGTCCCAAGACACGGCCTTCCCCTTTTCCCTGGTTACAGCAGCTGATAGTGAGCTGGCGAGGACACCATGCTCCCTTCTGCCACAGAGGCATGTGGGATCGAGAAGCTGTATGATCCCTTCTGTCAGGCCACAGGGTTCCACTGACCCCAGAGGGCTATCAGGGCTGCTGTGGAGGGGAAGGGGCCAGCACCTCCTTCTCCGCATCCTGCTCCATAACTGGAAGAGGCATCCAGGACCTTCCCAGCGAAGGGAAGCTGGTGGCCTTTGAGTCTTGCTGGGAAAGGATCACCTAGCTGCACTCAGTCTTAGCATACCTGGAAGTCCTCAGGGTATAGGTCCTGTTACCAGGGTGGACATGGCAGCAGGGCAGGAGGTCTGTGTGGGTCACTGTCATCTCTTGGCACATCAGCCAGCACCCATGCTGTCCCAGGCAACTGTGATAGAGCTGAACCTCTGGACATAGCCTCCCTTGATGGCTTGTCCTCCCTCCTCACCCTGCAGTGCCCTGGCAGCACTGGTGGCGTGCAGATCTGGGCTGGATGGAAACCAAAACCTGCATTCTCCTCCTTCCCCAGGTCAGACATTGCGTGAGAGGCTCAATCTGCTCAGAGCCATGCTATTAACAATAATTAATAACAGCCAGTAATAGCAATTAATTGCTTATGCTCCAGAGGGTTTAGGGCCCTATCCCAAGGACAGGGCAGGGACCAGGCTCGCTGTGGCAGAATATTCTTGTTCTCTGGAGGTGTTGGATAAGACATCCTGAACATTCAGCATTGAGGGGTGGCCACCAGGGTCCATGGGACCCTTCTCCTCTCCATTCTCTCTCTCCCACCAGAGAATAGTGGGCTTTTTCTCTGCCACCCCTTCCTCACTGGAACAAGGAGCAGCTGAGCCTGCAGGAAAGCTGGGCAGAGAGGAGTTAACTCCAAACCCAACCTCAGAGAAAGGGGAAAAAAAAATCAACAGAGATCTATGGTTCAGCAGCAAGAGCAGAGGGAGGGAAAAAGGGGGAGACAGAGAGAAAGGAGAGGAGTTCCAGAAGGAGAGAGAGCAGAGCTGGTGGCAGGCAGGGGGAGGCAGCGGAGCACCAGGCAGGAGTGACTGGAGTGACCAAGCTGCCTGGACAAACTCTTTGGTAGTCTTCATCCTCCTTGTCACCATCACCTGGGCTGGACCAGAGGTCTCCCCCTCCGCAAGCGAGTGGCAAAGCTCCAGGCCCTTCCTTGAAAAGGTGAGTGCTGGCTTTCCAAGCTGAGAGGTGGCCTCAGGCTCCCTGAGAAGAGATACCCTGGTGACCATGCATGCCCAGAGGGAGGTCGGGCTCCTCTGCTTCATTGAGGAGATCTCATGGGGCCAGATGGATAGTTATCAGTAGGACAGAGGGGACAGAAGAGCCAGAGAGGCAGAGAAAGTCTTTTGGTGTGATACACATAGGAGCTGGGAAAACAAAGTGGCGTGAGCTGAGGCGTGGGGGACCATGGGGTGAAGGAGCTTGCATGACCCAAAACTGAGTTAATTGCATGTCAACAGTAGCTAGATAATGGTGTCTTTCCCTCTCAGTTATTGCTCGGAGAAGGACAATTTGTTCTAGTGATAGCAAACAAGGGGAAGGCTCGTTTGGAGATAGGCTGTGGGCACTCCCTGCCTGAGCACAGCGTTACTCAGGGCTGGAGGAAGTTTTGCAGCAGATCACAATACCTTGAGCTGTGGTAATAACATGCTTCTTCACAGTGTTTATCGTTGTATTTCAGGCAGCTCCTCACCAAGCTGCCACCATCCAGCCCATTACTACCTCTCAGTATCATGAAAAGGTGCCCTTAATTGCCTCTTCTCTGCAGAGCATAGCTACTGCACCGGGAGCAAGGAGCAGCCATTTCCAGAGTGGAGGTGGCCCCAGTTTAAGGAGTTCCCTCGTGATAAGAGTATGTTGGGGTGCTGCTGCTGTGGGGTGCGATCCAGGCATCAGGTCCCTGCTGACGGAGGTGGCACAGCCCTGGGCTGAGTGTGCCAGGACCACTCGCAGACCATGGGAGCCCCCTTCCCCATGGCCTCGTGGACAAGCCCGGTTGAATACTAGCCAGGGTTTAGACTTGCCAAAGCAAGCAATCCCAAGAGGTTTAGCAGCCTTGGGATTGTAGGAGGAATATAGAGGAGGCCAAGTGGTAGGGCAGCAGGGATCCTTCAGGGGGCTGGGAGCACAGGAGATGCCGTGGTGGGAATGTGAATTTGGGCAGGAGAAAGGGGCTTCAGCTTTGCTCAAGCCAGGTGTGAGCTGACTGATCCCAACAACATTCTTGCCAGCAACATCATGAGGATCTTAGTGTCATCATTTAACCAGTTGGTTGAGATTGGCATCTCTGGAGAAATATGGGTGTCAAAGGCTAGAATCAGGCACCTTAGAGCTTTCTCTCTTTCTTTCCATGCAGGTCCCCACGGTCAGGTGGGGAGATGCCAGAGGGATGGAACATCTCTTCTGACAGCCTGGAGCTTCAAGCAGCAGGGATTATTGTGCCCATCATCTTCTCCCTCATCTTCCTTGGGGGTACTGTGGGGAATGGGCTGGTGCTGGCTGTGCTGCTGCAGAATGGCCAAGTCAAGTACACCACCACCAACCTCTTCATCCTTAACCTGGCCGTGGCAGACTTGTGCTTCATCATCTGCTGTGTCCCTTTCCAGGCCACCATTTACACCTTGGATGGGTGGCTCTTTGGGGCCTTTGCCTGCAAGGCTGTGCATTTCCTGATCTACCTCACCATGTATGCCAGCAGCTTTACCCTGGCTGCCGTCTCCATTGACAGGTAAGTCTCCCCTTTCCTTTGAGACTCTCAGCTCAGAGACAATGTGTTTGCCACTCCTGAGCTAAGAGGTGGGAGAAAGGCTGCCCTGTTGAATGTCCTGTAAAAAGCAGGTTGGGTCTCCCCAGGGGCAGAGCCGGCAGAGCCAACTCTCCATGCCCTCGCCTTCCACAAAGCCAAGTTCTAAGCTTGATTACTGACCCTCACTTGGGAAGGAGGAGTGTCTACCATGCATAACCAAGAATAGCAAAAGCCCTGGGACAGCAACACACCTCAGGGGAAACAGTAGAGTCTTGCTCCTATCTTTCTCTTCCCTGGTTCAGGAGACACACTGCCCTTCCTGAGCTAGTACAGCAGAGTGGATGATGGAGATCTCAGCCTCACTGTTGGAATGACCCTGATATAGCTGTGAATTCACTGTAACCCTCACTCCCAAGAGGTGGCAGAGGGGAGGGATGGGTGGCTGCATGGGTAGGGGTGCATAGATGGCATCCCCACAGGGCAGGAGAAATACCTCATCTCACCCATCTTGTGTTTGGTCTCTCCATCTCCTTCCCCTCCTTGCCAGGTACTTGGCCATTCGCTATCCACTGAAGTCCCGTGACCTCCGCACCTCCCAAAACGCAGGAGTGGCCATTGCAGCAATCTGGTCACTGTCGCTGCTCTTTGCAGGGCCTTACCTCAGTTACTACCAGATAATCCACTACCATGGTATGCCCATCTGTGTCCCCATCTGGGAGGACCAGCGCCGAAAGGTTCTGGACATCCTCACGTTTGTCTTTGGATACCTCCTGCCCGTGACCGTGGTGAGCCTGGCGTACATTAGGACCGTCAAGTTCCTGTGGACCTCCGTAGACCCCATAGAAAGAATCTCAGAGTCCCGGAAGGCCAAGCGTAAGGTCACGAAGATGATTGTGGCTGTGGCCATCCTGTTCTGCCTCTGCTGGCTGCCCCACCACCTGGTCATCCTCTGCTTCTGGTTTGGCCACTTCCCCTTCAACCGAGCCACTTACATTTGCCGCCTGGCTTCCCACTGCCTGTCATACACCAACTCCTGCCTCAACCCCATTGTCTACGCCCTCATCTCCAAGCATTTCCGCAAGCGTTTCAAGCAGGTCTTCACCTGCCTCTTCTTCCAGAACAAGACCAGGAAGAAGAAGAAGAGAGTTGGAAGGAAATTCCATATGGTCAATGTGGACAGAGGTTTCATCAACAGCACCAGAGGTTTCTATGGAGGCAACACTGAGGTGACCCAGGTCCCAGAAGACACCAGGAAGAGGGACCATGAAGGTGCCAGTCATGCCAGAGCATGGACTCAGCAGCTTCAAGATGCCATGGTCTCTGTTAAAAAGGGGATACTGGAGGAGGAACATTTGGCAACAGCTTGCCATTCCCTAGACATGACCACTTTAAGAGGAACTCAGGAGTTTCTGACTGTTCACCACAGATGAACTAAGTGAAGAAACACATTTTCCAGACCGTGAGTAGCCACTCTATTCCCAAACAGGGCAAATAATGTGAGGCAGAGGGGAATGGATGCAGCAGAGCCACCAAAAGATCCTGTGGCAATGGTAAACCCATTGCCCCGCTCACCTTCACTCGCTGGCCCACAGCATTCACCTAGGAATGTCACAATCCACCTAACCAGATGCAGAATAGAAGGACATGTTAATATAATGTCAAGTGACCTGAGCAGCATTCCTGCAACACATTTTAAGGACTCCATTTCCCAACTTCCTAACTTGCTAATTTTGTGCAACGACTTGAAACTCTGAGAGGGAGGAAACCAAAATGAAAATATCCTGGTAGGAAATCCAGGCTGTTAAGGTCACATCAGAGCATGGGTGGGAAGGGTGGAGTTCACAGGGACCTGAGTCTGAATAGAGTAGCTGGAAGCCTCTCTTCCTGAGAGCCCCAAGTGGAGAAACGCTGTCCCCTGCCCACATGCCCTTCTTTTCCTATGTGCCAGGGGCAGCCTTCATCCACCTCTGCCCCCTTCCCTTGCCTCTGCATCCAGATCAAAGGATCTTTGCCAGTACTGAACTGGTGCACAAGGAAGTCAGCTGTCTGTGCCAACAGCTCGATGACACAATATGCACAGCATTGTTCTACCTGATTCACCCCTCTGCTTACTTTCTGTTTGTCTTTCTCAAATTTCTGAGGGATTGCTGCCTCCTCTTTGATCTGTGCTTGCTACTTGGAATTTCATCCCTTCCTTCTGGGGCTGAAGGTCCTCTTGCTCTCAGAGCAGTGATGTTATTCAGCGATATTAGCCCCACACACACTGTTTATTCACTTGGCCAGACATTTTTTTTCTATGTGATGATGAAGATGGTGAATGAATTGATGGCTGTCACCAAAGCAAAAGAAAGTAACCAAGTTGCAAAATAAGCTGTAGAGCCAGGTGACAATTATGGTGAGGCAAAGGAGAAAGAAACAGGCCCATCACCCCCATGTGCACTTAGCTCAATCCTTAGTGCTCCTTTCTACATGGTGGAGAAGACTTCCAGGAGAGCACATGGCCAGCACCACTGAGGGGGTTGGGATCTCTTCCAAGACTGGCCACTGTTGTGGGATAGCTGTGGGACCCATGTCCACCTGGGAGAAAAACTTTCCCCTGCTCTGTCCCTGCTGCCCCGAGCAGCTGCGGAGAAACCTTTAGCTGTGGCAGCAGCTCAATGACACCCTGTAGCAGGGCCAAGAATCCTCTCAGCCTGACAGTGGGAAGTGCTGCGGGAATGGCAAGGCGGGACAAGAAATCATAAGTTGCTGGAATTTCTCCCCTGCTTGACCTTAATAAACCTGGTAATTGCCTTCTCCTGCCTTGTTTGCTGTGTGTTGGATACAATCTCTGCCATGCACAGGGCTCTGCAGTTTGGGTTGGAGGTGGTGTAGGCCGCATGAGCCATCTGACCACAGACTCACTAGCATGGCGGCAATTGGTTTATTTGCCTTTGCAGACACTGCAGAAGTGCCCAGAAACAGCAAAGCTGAGGGTTTTAATATGACTCCAGCACTGCCAGTGTTTAAGAGAGTCATAGAAGGAGACAGAAGTAGAGAGAGGGAAAGGGAGGGATGGTGAGAGTACCCGGTGTGGGGGGGCAATATAAATGAGAAATGTGTGGGGCTGGGTGAGAGCCATCTCCAGGGACAGAAAGTGGTGGTGAGCATCACTCGGCTATGTTGGGACTCCAGCCCCACAACATCTTTCTCCAGCATTTTTCTGCATCATCAGGCTGCCAGAGAAGCCCATGAAAACAATGTCCAAGCAAGGCCTTTGATCAGTCTAGCACATGTGGGAGGGAGGGAGCCAGTGGGATTTGCATTGCTACAATGCTGTGGTTTGCTGCGGTGCCTGGCTGACCTCACATAGCTCCCATTTTGTCACGTGGCCATGACATGAGTCATGAGAGGGGAGGGGAGGACCAAGCGGGATACTCAGCTTTCCCGGTGTGCCAAGTCCATGTGCTGCAGGTGAATGCAGCCACCCAAGGCCACCCTCCGTTGGATGAGACAGTTTTGCTCTGGGAACACAAGGTGTGTGATGCCACCTGACTTGCAAGTGTGAGCAAGACAGATCCTGTTTGCCAGCACAGATAGAGCCCCTGAGCCTCAGTCCTGTGGCCTGGGAGCTTTTGGTCATGCTGTAGAAGAAAAACAGGAAGAAGCCCTAGAAAGGGTCTAGAGAGGCAAGAAAGGAATATCCATTAGCATCACAGTTTCTGACCGCATGACAAGGATCATCAGACCCACACCTTATCCCCACTGAGATGGTCTTATGTTGGCAGTGAGAGATGAGCTCGCTCATTCAAACCCACTGAGTTCAAGTTCCCCAGAGCTCCTCAGCCACCTCCTCCACAATCCTGTAGCCATGTCTGAGACCTGCCATCACCACTCACAACATTCACAGTAAACTTAGTCATTGCAACAACCCTCCTTTTCCTTAATTACATATGGAATTTAATTAGTGCTGTATGGATCCTGAGTATGTAACTCTTAACATGAGGCAGATCTGCACCCATAATTTCTTAATAGCAGGTTGAAAGAGGGAAAGCTTGGCAAAAAGTGTTTGTGGAAAGCAGTGACATTGTGGGGCACACAGACTTCCACACTGAAGATGGGAAACAATTACAGATTGTCATGGCACCAGTAGGTTTCAGAATGAACACCTTTGCCCTGAACAAGGCAGGTCATTCTCTCTCCACAGCAGTTCACTTTCCTACACCCCACTGCCCACAGTTATCATGTTCATGGAGATATCCCTCTCAGCAAAGGCCTATGGGCTGACTTTCCAGGTGGAGACGCAAGGACTGGGTGCTACAGCAGACTCTGTAGCCTGGAAATCTGGAAGGACCACACTCCTCTCTTTCTAGCTAGTTGAAACAGCGAGGGAACTCATGCTGAGGAGTCCCAGCTGGCAGAGAGGAGAGAGATCATCATCGGGAGCCAATTGCCAGCACGAGGCTGCATCAAATGCTAAGTTGTGGGAAGCTGTGCAGTTGCCATCGGTGGTGTCCTGAGCCCTGCATGGCCTGCAGAATCTGCTGGTGTCTTCACTTGTCCCCATGCATGGTGCTGGAGGTTGTGTAAAAAGTAAAGGTGTTTTGGTCCCAGCAGTGCCCTCCAATGCTGTCAGTGCTGTAGACATTGTGCAGCAGGGCTGGGTGACATCAGGCAGCTTGCAGAGCTGTGATGTGTGTGAGCCACAATCTCCCCCTTATTTCTGTTCTCTTTCTATTCCCTACTTCCGTTTGCGTAAATCTTTCCTTATTGCTTTGTCCTGCCTGCTCTTAAATTCCCAGGTGACGTGGTATTTCTAACGCTTGCTGAAGCTGTTGTAGACCTTGCTGGAGCTTAGCTCCAAGGACACCTGTTTTTCTGTGTGGAGGCCAGCTGAAGAGCTGTGCTGGGAATTAGTTTTCTTTCTCCATTCAAGTGCTTGATGTTGCTTTCTGCACTTCGAGCCTCCCTCGCCTCCTATCCCTGTTTGTGATTTTCCAAGCTCCCTCCCTTCATGATGGCTGCCACTCCTCTGCAGTTGATGCTTTTCAGAAACACGTCCAGATTGCCTTACCCACCTTCCCGGGACAGCAAGTTCTACAGCCACCCTTTGCACATGATGCCATGGCTGGTGGCCAGCTCACATGGCCTCAACCCACCTCTGGGCAACACAAATACCTACATCATTTCTGTGGGTGAAGACTCACTACACAGCCTAAAGCACTGGAGGGAGAAGGGAACAGGAGTCAGGAAGAGTGATGTGGCACAGCTGGATGCTGCCTGTTCTTGCCCAGATGCGGCTGGGCTGTTTCTCACCCCAATCCTGCTCCTCCTAGTCCCAGCTTGCAAAGGAAGCAGATCATCTCAGAACTGACTGCTGCACATTTGGTTGAAGCCTAAATAAAACAGGGCAGAGAAAACAAGGAATATCTTAGGAGAAAGTGCATTTAATGTGACAAGTGGCTGCAAGCCCCAGGCCCCTTCCCTAAGCTCTGCCTGGTGCTAAGCCCTGATTTTGGGGAGCATGTGAGCAGGATGGGCAGGCACTGAGTTTCAGTTGGGAAGGCTCTGGAGCCAGGAGGGAATTCCTGTCTGCCCAGTAACAGCGTACATGCTCCAACCGGTTTCTCAGCTCAAAAGCAGAGGTGAAGCAAAGATGTCACATCCTTGATATAGTTAGATTTAATTAAAGCTGAAGGAACTTCATTGCTGCTTTCCACGCAGCCTTCCCTCCAGACTGATTAGCATTCTGCAGTCTCTGCTCCTAGCTTCTTGCCTTAATTAATGACTCCTTGCTTGTATTTTCTTTCCTACTTGTCATCACCCCGGCTGATGAGCTCATCTTTAACACTGGAGAGGCTGGTTTGCCACATTAGCCGAGTACTGCCATTCCAAGAGCTGAAACAGAGATGAAATGGGAGAGGTGTGAGCAGGTTGAGGCTTTGTGGCTAGGGGTCGGCACCATCTCCTCTCTGTGGAGCAACTTAGTCCTGCCAACTGTGCACTGGTTCTGGTGTCTGGCATCTCCCTGGCATGTGTGACATGAGCCCAACACTGCTGGGAGGTGTCAGACCCAGATGCCAAGAAGCTCATCGTGCTTACACCCCTGCATGCAAATCTGGCAGTCCTGGAGTGGGAATTCTGGTTACTTGCTTTTGGGTTTAGCTGCTGGTTGCTAATCCACAATCAGCCTTAGCAGGTTGACAGCTGATTATGTTAATTCTTCCAACAACCACATGACCTCTTCCCCTCTCAGAGCTTTCAGAAAAAAACCAAAGGAACGCTGTTTGCCATACCTCTTTTATCAGCTTCCTAATCAAAACTTACTGACTCTTCCACCTACTCACCCCCTAAGCCCTCAGCTGCCTAGGGCTGCTCTCCCACGTGGGCCAGGCACACCACATGAAGAAGGCATCTTTCTGTAAGTACCCTCCTGTGATGAAGGAGAAGAGATCTGTCTTGCTCACAGAGTGAGCAGAGGAAGCAGATGAAAGGGTGGGAGGTTTGCCAGAGATGCTTCATGGAGTTTGCCAGAGATGCTTCATTGGGCTTCCTTAGCAGCACAGGTAATTGCAGTGCTGGATTTGGAGTGTGCTAGAAAGGCAAAGGTGGAGGAAATAAAGGAATTCAGATGTCAGAGATTAATTATTTCAGCCGCTGAAGAGCTGAACAAACTCTTGATGTTCGCACACATTACAGTGCACGCTTCACATTCGCTTGCATGGGTGAGTGGCTGCTTCAGAGAAAGGCCTTTTGCTTAGCAACATCCATGTGGCTTTGCTGGGAGGTTTTGTTCAGGGCTGTTGCTTCTGCTGTGAGTCCTCAGTGAGACACAAGCAGGTTTTCAGTCTTTACTCGCTGGCTTTGGTACCATCTTATAGCACAGCAGCGGCTGTAGAGCCAGGGAGGTTGCTGCTGGGTTCAGTAGCTGGGGATTCAGCACATCCCTGCAGAGCCATGCTCTGAATGAGGAGGGGAAATGGAGGGTATTTGGAAGTCAGGTAGGGGTGAGGGGGAACAAGGCCTAGAGTCAAGTCCCAGTTAATATCATGGCCCTGAGGACAGGGATGCATCATTGCTCAGGAAGGGATCTGGGAAGTGCGTCTGATGGTGTGGTACAAAGAAAATAAGGAGGTTGAACTGATTATAACAGCAAAACAAATAGCAGAGGGAAACCTGTGCTGTTGTTTCTATTCTCCATTGCTGCAGCAGACACCACTGGGAGATGCAGAAAGCTGCCACCAGCCTCATGGGTTGTGCAGGGAAATCTGTGCATGGAAATCTGTGGCCCAGGGTGCAAGGATGGGGGAAATAGCTGCTGGGAGAAGCTGAAGTCTCTAGGCCAGGAGCAGCAAAAAAACCAAACAGTGCCAGTGAACAGCTCTTAGCAGCGTGAAGCCACCGTCTCCTCCTCCCCTGGAACCTCTTCTTTCCTTCTTTCCCTCCCCAGCACCTAACTTGTTCTAGATACAGCTGCTGAGCATGACAGGGTAGTTAAGGTTTTGGCAAGACCGGCTGATGCAAAGAAACATAAAACTTTTCTCCATCCAGTACCAAACACATGATATGGCTCTCAGCAGCCCAGTGCTTCATTCCCGAGGCAGGAAAGCAGAACTAAGTGTGGTGATTCACAGAATGTGATTCCTACATGATACAGTTTTTTCCCTACTGAAAACCAGATACCCTTTTGTCTTTCTTACCTGGTGTTACTGTTAAAGCAGCGGCAAAACTTCCTATAACCCTGCTTGTTTTATTATTGATCGTCCTCCCATGGAGGGAGCAGTGCTGCACAAGAAGCAAGATAATTGCTCCTGGCTGTCTGCAGCACCCCCACCTTTCCCCTGTCAGGAGCTGTTATGAAAAAAACAGTGCCAGGTGAGACAAAGGCTTGAAGAGCTGTCGACAATATCACGTGTGCCGAGGCTAAAAGCTTCACTCTGAGTCCCAGCTAGATGTATTCCCGCTTTGAGGTAAGCTTCCAAGGGGTGTCTAGTTAGCAGACAACATCAGCAACTAAAATAACTGCAGAGTTAAAGAGCATTTCAGCCACCTGCTCTTTGAGCACCTTAATGGTCTCCTCAGCAACAAGGCTGTTGAGGGCAGAAGCGCTGATAGCTGGGTGTATGTGGACACCAAGACTAGGCTGTGAAGACAGGAAGATATAGGGTAAGTAAAGGCTGGACATGAAAGTCACCTGCTCCTTACACAGGGACCACACTGGAAATTCTCTGCACTGCCCAGATGTCCCTCCCCAGTCCCTCATCCCTTTGCTGCCTCTTCACAGCACAGTCATTTTATCCAGCATGGGGCAAGGCACAAATTCAGCCACTACCTTCCCACCAGCTCCATACCTTTGCAAGAGTGCAGAAGCACTGAGTGCTGAGAATCTCTCTCCTCTATTTGTTCAGTTTTCACAGCAAATGCCTAGATTTCAAGTTTGGATTTCTTGTCTGTGGGAGTCAGGATCAGAAAAAGTCAGTCAGCAACCATGTACTTTGATCTGCAAACAGAGCAGTGTTTGAATTCAAACAATTTTGTGTTGTCGCTTCTGATTTCGGTACCAGCTATGACAGTAGCAGTTACCAAGTCCAGTGCTGTGCATGGGGCCTGGAACATACAGTAAAGAAAGAGAAATGGGCTGCTCTGAAAAAGAGAATTTGGCTGAGGAGTCTTAAAAGGCTGACAGGATTTTATTGAAGTTCAAAATACAAAAAGGTCAGATTGTCTCCCACCTCCTCGGCATCCTTCCCATCCAGCACATCATAACAAAGTACCACTATTCATAGTGACAGCTCCAGCCCAACCAACCACAAGACTGCTGGTCCCAGTCATGTTCTCCAGCACCTCATGGGTGAACTCATCTAAAAGCCATGCCTATTTCTGGTATCTCAGCTTTGAACACAGAGGTCCACTTAATCTCTTCCTGGACAAGAGGCAGATATCAGAGAGCATGCTGATCTAAATGTCTCTGAAGAATGCTCCAAACTGTGGCTGCTGCATGTTTAAGCTGAATCCTAATAAGGCACTCTTCCAAACAGTGATTTCCAAGCTGTGGAATGGGTATGGCTAACAGCACTACCATGGTGTGGTACACAGGTAGGAATTCAGATTATTATTGGGCATGTTCCTGCTCCCTGCTGCTGTTGGCACCCTACCAATGGGATTTCATGATCCCTGCTCCAAAACAAAGTAATCTAAATCTTCATTACTAACCACAGGGGCAGAAGTGAGAGAGCAGCAAGATCAATTCACTGCATAGCTGCATCACTTCAGACTCCCAGCAGAAGTCATGATTTGTTTCTCACACTGCACTTAAGGCTCTGCATGACAAGCAAGAAACACAGGATTGCTGACCAGTGGGCTTGGTGCTGCTGAGGCAGACATAAACCCATATCCATGCCAGCCCAATAATATGCTGCACGTGCAACACCTGTCACAATGGGACCCCTTGCCTGAGACTGCCAGTAACAGGAAACACAAAAGTCAGTTATGGTGGGGGTTTTTTGCAAGATGTAGATGTCTACCTAAAACTATGTTAAGATTGTCACCCCCCAAACCTTATTCTTGCATCAGGGTAGCTCTGACCTGCTAGCTGTGTACCTGGGTATTTTTTGCAAGTGTTACACTGTAGTATCTAAGCACTAACTTGCAGCAGTGATTTAAAAAATGAGGCCAGCAAAAGCTGTATCCCATTTGTAACCAGACAATCAGATTCTCTGCCCTCTGACCACAGGCTATGGGGAAGGTGAGGATTAAGCCTCAGTGCATGTCTCTCAAAGCAGTATGTTTGCTCAGCTGCTAGCATGCAGAATTAAGCGTGTGTACTTCTCACAGCACAAAGCCTTCTGTTGTCCAAGGTATTCACTTTCTCTCTCAGGCAATTGAGCACTATGGAGGTGGCAAAAAGTGCCCGTTTCAAGCATTTCTATGATGCTGGCCAGCTGCTGAGTGCACTAGTCAGGGCTGGTGACTGTACATGACATCAGCCACCACCTACATCAAGCTGAAGTACTTAGAAGGCGGTAAAATATCTCTGGAAAAGGTATTCTATTCATCACCAGCCCATCTGATAAAAAGTAGAGCAGTTCTTTTACCCCAAAGTCACAGATGCGGCACTCTGTTGTCTCTTGCCTCTGTTGTCCAAAGCCTGCTGCCTCCCCGTGAGGCAGCTGTGGCAGCACCAACAGGAACAGTCTGAGCACCACTGGAGAGTCAGTCTGGCAGGAAAGGCCGCTGGCAGCAATGTTTATTCAGCGATCTGGGAAGCAAGCTTCAGCTTCCTTTTTTTCTCTCTAAGGCTTCTCCTGCTGCATCAGGAAGATGATTTGGAAGCCCATTACCTGTTCTCCATCTTCTGCATCTGCAGGCTGAGCGATGTGAAGCTGGCCAGGAGGTCTGTAACCTCATCCACCTGACAGAAGAATACAGCTGGCTGTTAGGCAGGGGAATGCAGCTGTACAGCCACTCGCCACCATAGAATAAACCGCGACACAGCAGGGACTACCCCTGAACTAGGGTTGCCAGTAATGCCCGTGCTGAGCTTATGCTAGGACAGGATCCCTTTGGTCCCAACAATCATGTAGAAGGGCTCTTATCCTCATGATCAAACAAGCCCTAATGTAAGGCAATGGGAGTTCTTCTCATTCCTCAGGAGGTCGATGCTTAACCTCCACCCTGTGCGATTTAGCCAGTCCTTAAAATAAAAGCGTGTTGCTGCATTACCTAAAACTCAGTGGTATCAGGGCTGTTTCCTCTAAGCTTATTTCTAAGGGCCAATTCTTTGCAGGAAAAAAGCAAACATGCCTTGCAACCTGGTGTGGTTGTGCTGATCCTGGCCTTAAAATGACTGTGCCCTCAGCCCATCTGATGTTCAGCTTCTCTCCTGAGCTGCTAGGCACAGCAATGCTTTCTGCATTTTGAATTCCAGCCTAAAGGAGTACAAGTCATCACGTAACTTGCCCACTTGACCCAATGTGAACAAAAACATTTCCATAACCGTGTCTTTAATGTCGTCCACTGCTCATGCAATTGCATTCTCCTACACACAGGAGCCACAACACAAGGTGAGTCACAGTAGCTCAACGACACCTACCTGCTCCTTTGTGCTTGTCATCTGTAACCTGGAACAGAGGTCATCCAGCTGTTCCTTTTGCTCATGCCTCCCCAGACGGTCCAGGTATTCCCGCAACATCTGGATAATCTGAAACCAAGAGGCATAGAAGGCAAACATCAGAGAGCTGCACCAAGCTGAGGCGTTTTTACAGGAAAAATTAAATTGCACTTAGATCACCAAGTACACAGCCTTGATGCTGCAGCACATGGCAGAGTACGTGATCCTTAGAGAAGAACAAATGCAAAGCAACTGCACAGCACTAATGGCAGCACAAGAGCCCAGTGAGTCACCAGAGGCATTCATCAGCCACAGATGGACTACTTGTGATCCTTATGTCTGGTTTAGGAACAGGGAAGAGAGATAGGCCCAGCTGAAGCAGCATAAGGCTTAGCCCCGAAAGCATCAAGCTTCTCTTTATGGCTAGCTAGCTTCCCTCACTGTGAGGAGCAGGGACTTCCCACACCAGCAGGATCTGCTTGTGCACAGTGGATGAAAATCCTTGTGGCTCCTACAAGGCTCCTGATGTGAGGCCCATGCCGTGTTCATTTGTAACCTCACAACTGCTTTCCTATTCCATGGCTCCACATATTGGAGCAGGGTAGACTGTTCTAGAAATACAGAGTCCCTGCATGTGCACACCATAGCTACAGCCTCATGCTGTGGTCCCTCTCCTGCCACAAGGCATCTGTCTTACATGGTGGTTGAAGAAAAGGAGTGCTCCATACAGCCCGAGAATTAGGATATTCAATGCATCCTTGGCCTACCAGAGCCAAGGGAGGTCCTGCAAAAATTTAGAGTAGAGATTGGGAAAAAGGAAGGTCTCTGAAAATGGAAGGGAAAGTCAAACTCTCCCCACAGTGGTTAAGAACCTACAAACAGGTATTTAAATAAAGGGTGCAGGATGCTGCCAGGGGCTGCGCCACCTTACCAGAACATGGCACTGTTTCTTTTACCTGTTTCACTTCCAGGCGTACGGCCTCCAGGCTGTGGGACAGTCCTTCCTGCAGGATGTTCAGCTTCGATTTAGCGAGGTGCAGTGGGGTTCTGCCAGCTCGATCCAAGGCGTCAACTCTGGCCCCTGTAAGATGCACGAGCAAGGACAGAAAGTGAGATTTGTTGTCAAGATCAACTGGGGAGTATCAACAGGGCAGGCAGGAAAGGGACAGGCTGTAATTGTTATAGAGGAAATGTTACCTCCGCGCAGCAGCATGGTGATGACAGGAACATGGTTCGTGCAGGCAGCTGGGGAGGGAAAACACAGGACACACAACTCAGAGGCACTAGCAAAAACGAGTTCCTGCTCAAGCGTGGAGCTTGCTGCTTCCCAAAGGCTTCTTTGCCATGGGAAAGAGGAACAGCTCAAATGCTAAGATAACCTCACACTCAAGCCTGAGTACTCCCTCTGGAACAGAGCTTGCGCTCCTTGGGGCTGGCAGAGAGAGGGAAATTGATTCTCTCAAACCTTTTTTCTGACCCTAAACTTTGTGAGGAGTGAAGCTAGTGAAATTCAAAGAGCCCCTTCTAGGTCCTTAAATCTGGGGATGCATACTCTGAGGCACAGGGAAGAGGAAGGTGGAGAGGAAAGGAACAGTAAGGTGGTGTTCACCTCACCTCTCTTCATGCAAAACTCATCTCTGTGGCACTTACCCAAATGTAGGGGGGTGTTGCCCAGCCCATCTCTCTGGTTTGGGTCAGCCCCATGGTCCAGAAGCAGTTGCACTGGAAACAAGGAAACAACCACATCAGTCCCTTCCCTTTGCCCCACAGGTCAGGCCCATATGGGCCACAGGTCCACGTTGCAGCCACCAGGCTGCCTTACAGGTGCTTCTCTTCAGCTCATCAGCTTCCTTACTGAGACAGGGAACAGGGGTTTGTGCAGCAATGCAGAAGGACCCAGCTCAAAGTCAAGCAGTGCCACTGCCCTTGGGCTCTCTGAGGGGAAGAATGGGGTGGAAGGACACCCTTCCCTCTGCATCAGTACAGCCCTAAAACTGGGAGGTCCTGCTCCCCCTCCAACAGGGGGACATGGGAAGCCCTGGGGCCAGAGTTCAGCTGGCAACTTTGACACAAAAGAGCAATCTCTGTCACATGCTGAATCAAACTAAAGAGCATCCTTTGAAATCTCTGCCACAGAGAGGTTGTAAGGCAGAACTCCCCCTCCCCACTCACCGATGTGATCGTTGCCATTGCAGGAGGCGAAGTGCAGGGCGGTCCGGCCTTTGTCGTCCGCAGCACAGGGATCAGTTCCATCCTCCAAGAGTTGCTGCACTGACAGCACCAAGGAGGAGAAGAAAGCAGGTAAGCTGAAGGGGCACCTGATCAGAGAGGGGTAATGCTATCTGCTCTTCTGGGGCAGATATATGTGCTGTCAGCTGCCAAGTCAATGGGACTTGAACCAGCATCCTGCTCAGCAGAATCAGCTGAGGCAGCACAACCTCCACCCTCTGTTTCAGCCTTTACCACCTTCCACATGTTGCCACAAAAGATAAGTCAACAACTAATGGCTAAGGATCCATCTAGCCAAATTTTCAAGTTCCAAGGACAATCTGCAGCAAATGCCTAGAGTATAAAAAGACAGGAAGGTTGTGGGGCTAACTCTCAGCTTTACTCATCTGTATCTCAGGCACTTCCCAAGCTAGAGTTAGCATCCTGTGCTTACTACCCATCCGTGGGCTTTCCCCATAGATTTGCACGGTCCTTTTCTGTGCCTGTGTAAAGTTTTCACACCAACATGGACTCGTGGTCAAAGTTTCACAGTGTAACTATGTCTAGTGAGAAATGCCATTTTTTCACACCTGTTTTGACTATGCCCCTTCCCTTTTGCCACTCGGTGTGGCAAAAGTATGGGAATGGTGGCTACAGTATGGGTAGCAAGCAGGGGAGCGCACCGACTCTACAAGAGCAATGCAAAGAGACCAGTAAAGGTTGCAAAGATTAGGTACATAAAAATAGCATCTATTGCAACGTGGGTAAGAACAACTGTAAGGGTTATTACTCCTGTTGTTTTGAGATCACCCTGACAGGGTAACCCTGATGAGTGCATAAAATAGAGCTCGCTACGTAGCTGTTAAAAATGCTGACAGGTTCACTATATTTTGAGATATTTAGCAGCATATCCTGCAACAGCCAAGACTGTCAAGTACTGGAGACAGAAACTAGATAGCTCAGACCACTGAAAGTCACTGTTCATCTCAGCTGCCAGAGATCGAATTATAGCCACATTTGAATTTCCTCCTGTACACCTCCTGCTTTAAGTGTGGCACAGAACTGAAAGGAACATCTGAAAAGATGGAAGTGGCGTTAACAGGGGATGTCTGATACTCCAGAAGAAAGACAAGGAGACTGGAGTGCCCCCAGTGAGAACCATTAATGGGGAACACTTTAGCTAGTCCTCCCCTGAAGCCAGTAGGAATGACATAACCTCTCCCACCCAATGCCACCACAGCAAACAGCAAAGATGTTTACTTGTTGATGAAGAATAAATTAATCATCAGGCACTTTCTCAAGTTGCAGAGTGCAGAAAACACATCAGGATTGTAAATAGGGGAACCTGTCTTTCACATCCAAGATGGATTGAAACCGACTTCCATAAAGCCACGTTCTTTCATTCTTGCTCTTGACTCACTGACTGAAGCCCAGCCCTTCTGTACTGACAGAACCCACAGATGAACTTTACCCATTAGTTTGTGAAAGAAGGTGTATTGTGGGGCTGAAGGACCTGAAACCTCCCCCTGATCTGGTGGACTGGGATTTTCTACAAGTCGAACAAGTTTCCAATTCTGTTCACTGACTGGCCTGATAAAAGGCAAGCACAGCTGAGGGGACAGCACAGTCTAAAGAGGGACAATGAAAAGGGGCAGATATTGTTGCTGGACACTTCATATCAAACCCCACCTAATCCACAGTCTAGAAAGGTAAAGAGAGTAACAGATAGGCCATGAGCCCTCTGTGAGTTCACTGTGAGAGGCAGAGTCCATCTCTGGTCCTGGTTCTAATCTACTGGGTCACACTGCCTCATCTTACAGGGCATGGCTTAGATAATCACAGCTTTTCCACCTTAACCAAAACATTACTCTCTTGCTGCTTACAACTGGGCAAAAGGTACATTTTAAAGCAGCTGGAACAGTGTAGTGCGGATTTAGCTCGAGGCAGTTGGTAAATTAACTCTATGAACCAGCTGCAGTGAAAAAGTGAACACTATAACCAGCCCCACTCTGATCAGAGAATGAAACTGGGCTCCAGAAGAGCATTTTCTAGATCTGAAGCATCTAAACCACCACGTCCACAAACTATCAGCACCCATTTTGTCCCCTCCTAAAATAAGAGTCCTTGACATACTGCCCTTCCAGAAAGAGATCCCAAGTGGGACTGACAGAAGCCTTACCTGTGTCTAAATCATTGCTATTGGCAGCTTCACGCAGCCTTTTCAGAAAGCAATTACTAAGAAGCACAGAAGAAAAAGCTGCGTTTCCCTACTGGAACATCCCATCCTGGTGCTCGAGCCCAGCTGTGGGGCCAAATCGCACTGCTGCTCCTGGCTCAGGAGAAGGGGAAGCTGGAGATCAAGCCACCAGGTAAGAACAGCTCTCCTCGTGTCCTCCGGAAGCCCTCCCACTTCTGACCGGCACCCTCCTCTGGCAGGACCAGGGATGCCTTCCCAAGTCGCCCCCAGAACAGATCCGACCCCCTTCCCATGCGGAGCCGGCCGAAGGCAGAGCTGTCCCGGGGTGGGACAGCGGCTCCCCGCCGCCTCCTGCTCACCGTGGGCCTCCTTGCCCGTGGGCCCCAGCCGGCGGTGCAGGCGGGCGGCCCTCCGCAGGCGGCGGGCCGGGATCTTGCCCGCCGGCTCCTCCCGCTGCCACAGGACGTGCAGGTACCCGAGGGGCGCGCCCGCCGCCGGCCCCAGCGGCAGCCCGGGCTCCAGCAGCGGCAGCCCGACCAGCGGCTGCGGCTCCGGCTCCAGCTCCAGCTGCGGCTGCGGCTGCGGCTCCGACTCCGACTCCGGCTCTGGCCCCGGCCCCGCGCCGGGTGCCGCGCCGGCCCCGCCGCCACCCTCCATCTCCTCACGGGCCGGGCCGGGGGAGAGGGGCGGGGCGTCACCATAGCAACAGGGCGGGCCGTATGCGCTCGACCAATGGGAGGCGCCTCGCTTTCTGCGTGCAGCCAATGGGAAGGGCGCAGGCAAGGAGGAAGACGAGGAGAGAGGCGGTGACCAGGAAAGCCTGACGGGCAGACGCGTTCTCCTATCAGAGGGAGGGACGGACCACAGGCAGCCCATGGCGGCTCAGGGAGCTGAAGACGGACAGTTGCTTTAACCAATGGAAGTGATCAGCCAGCCCCTCCGAGCCCCGTCCTAGTGCGCGCCCCAGGCCCGCGTTTCCGGCCGGAGCTCTTTCCGCGACGCGCCGCTGCCGCCATGGCCTACCCGGGGGAGGACTACGACAACGAGGTGAGGGCGTGGGGCGTGGGGCGTGGGGCGTGGGGGGCGCAGTCGGGCTGTTCGCGGGTACTCACTGCCGCCTTCTTCCCACAGGCCGCCTACGACCCCTACGCCTACTCCAACGACTATGACATGCACACGGGTGAGTGCTGGCCTGGGCCGCGCTTCCGCGGGGGCTCCGGCGCCCGGCTGGGTCTGTGGGGCCGGGCCAGGCCGTGCGGCGGCTGCTTCACTACTCCACCTTCCCCGCAGGAGACCCGAAGCAAGACCTGGCCTACGAGCGCCAGTACGAGCAGCAGACCTACCAAGTGATCCCCGAAGTGATCAAAAACTTCATTCAGTATTTTCACAAGACGGTGTCAGATCTCATTGACCAGAAGGTGTACGAGCTCCAGGCCAGCCGAGTTTCCAGTGATGTTATTGACCAGAAGGTGTACGAGATCCAGGACATTTATGAGAACAGGTACAACACTATCCTCCCTGCAAGTGGGAATCACTGTTTAAACTGGGATGAAAGTGCACCCTGCCTTTAAAAGGAAAGGCTTGCCAAATCTTGCTGCTACCTGTGTTCCAAACTTGGGCTTTCTCTAAAATAGGTTTGGTTTGGTTACTGGGGGGAAAAACCCCATATATTTCCAGCCTGTTAGGCTAACATAAGTATAGGTGAGTTGTGACCCCTCTGAAGAAGAATATCAGCCCTGGCCTAACAGATATGGAGGCTACAAAAAGGAACCTTAGTCATGCTATCCAGGCAGTTTGCAGAAAGCTGTGAGGTGTAACTTTTGTGTGTGTTCCCTACAGATACTCTTCCACTCGTGCTTGTAGCTGTGTCACCTTGCCATAAAGAAAATGTGGAAGTAACAAAGTAACATGCACGGCTGTTCCGTGACTGAGGGATAAACTGAAGACTAACTGCTTAGTTTGCAGTTCTTGTTCTTTGCCTCAACACTGGAGTTACAGGGGGTGGGGGTGGTGCTCAGCCTTCATCAAACCCAAGGCGCCTCTGTTGTCATCTCTAACTCCATCACTGTCATACTGAAAAGTGGTTTTTCATACCACGTGTGCTTGTCTTTCAGCTGGACAAAACTGACAGAAAGGTTTTTTAAGAACACCCCATGGCCAGAGGCTGAGGCCATTGCCCCTCAAGTTGGGAACGGTAAGTCTTTTTCTTTGGTTGTTGGAAAGAGAAGGAACTAAATCCTTCTGATCCATGGGTGAGCAGGTGCACAGCGTTGCTGCCGCCTGAGTCAGTTGTCTTTGTCCGCTCTGGCAGCTCCTTCAGCAGGTGCCTGGCAAGGAGTCAAACTGCGAAGTATCCTTATGTGCTTCCCTTTATGATTGTGGCAGGAGGCTAATAGGCCTTGTGGCTTGCTCATGTCCCTTTCTGTCATCTTTTCCAGATGCTGTTTTCCTCATCCTATACAAGGAGCTGTACTACAGGCACATCTACGCCAAAGTCAGCGTGAGTGTTGGCCCTTTGTCTTCCTGTGGATTGAATGCTGGTTTCTTTGTGCCAGCAAACTTGACAAATCTTGCTGCCACCACAGTTTCAGTGGTCCCACAGTTTTTGCAAGACAGGATTTATGGGTTTGTGAGCTGTAAGTCACATTGCTTCTAGGGAAACTTAGAATTCTTGCCTTTTGTTAGTTTGGTAAGGATTCACTGATTGCTGAAAAGCAAGAAAGACTTGACTGTTTGTCTGAGGCTCATTAGCTGTCTCTTCAGGCTTGGTTATAATGAGTGTGCAGGATTCCCTGATAGCTCAAATGAATCGGAAGACAGATCTGAGTTTTCAAGAAGCTGTTTGTTTCTGACATTCAGTGCTGCTCAGTGAGTTAGTTAGTGAGTTAGGGAAGAAGGAGGTTTTGGGAGCTAATTGAATTTACATTTTAATTGCTTTTTTTGTGTGTTTCTTGGTGACTCTTTGTTCTTCAGATGAGCAGGTGGATGAGGGGAGTTTCACAAGAGGAAGGTGCATTATTTGTGATTAAAAACCCCTCATGGGGTCAGAGTGCTTTGCAAAGAGGGAAGTATGGATACCATAAAGGATACAGGAGGAAGAAGTGGAAGGAATAATGCTCTGTGAAACAAAACAAATCCCTCAGGTTTTTTTTATTTAAGCTGCTTTAAAGTCAGTGAGAAAATCGCAGTACCTGGTTTTTTAAGGAAAAAAGCTGAACAGACACATGACTTACGGGGCATATAAGTAATAACTGCAATTTTACTATGGACCAGAGGGTGGAGAAATGAGCACTTTAAAAAGTGCTGTGTTAATCCAAGGCTTTAGCAGGAGAAACTGGTTTCTCAAACTGTGCTGTTAGTGGTTCTCAGACTCAGTGTCTCCAGGCTGAACAAGAGAGAGAACTCTAGGAAGAGAGTGATTCCTTACCAGTAGGTCAAAGTGTTAAGAAATGCTGTCCAGAAACAGAATTGTTGATTTATTAAGGCCTCTCATAAAGGGAGAAGGAAGGAACGCTGGTGAAGGTATAGGAAGTTCTTAAGTCTGGGCAGCAGAGAGGGGAAGAGGGAAGGTTAATGCACAATATTCACAGGAATTTTGACTGCTCGATTGTCCTGGGGGAAGCTACCTGTACAGGAAAAGTCAGCCCTGCTCTATGGGACAACAGTGATACAATTTCAGGCTTTCTGGGTGATGCTGGTGGATGTCCTAGTTGAATACTGGCTTTAACACTTCTGAAAGAGCCCCTCCACTGCTGTGACTATTCAGTGTCCTTTGTATGCTGTTGTCCATGAACTTCCCTCTTTGGTGCTCAAAACAAAGCAGACTGTGCTGACTTCTCATTGCAGGGGGGGCCCACACTGGAGCAGAGATTTGAATCCTACTACAACTACTGCAATCTCTTCAACTACATCCTCAGTGAGTTGCTGCAATCCATGTCTAGTTTGTTATTTTTGGAGAGGGAGAGTGGATGGAGAGGGTGGAGCTGGAGAAAGGGTCAGAAGAACTGCAACATGTTTGTGTATAGATTGCAGAGGGAGAAGTAGTCTACGAGTTTTCTGTATGTTTGAGTTTGCTGAATGAAGAGCAGTTTGCATCCATGAATTTAAAACCATAAAAAGCAGAAATAGTTCCCAGTGCTTTCTGAAACACTGTAAAGAATAAAACTTATTTAGCTTTCTGTCTTCCTGAGAACTGCTTGATCTACTTTTATTAAAAATTAAAATGAAGCTAAAGAAAAATTAAGCTAAAGGAACTTGCAGTGTTTTCACAACTGTTTACTGTTGTTGACTCCCCTTGGAGCAAATTTTAGTGTTTGTGACTCCCTGCCAGGCTTTTTGTGGAGATTAGATCAGTTGGGATAAACCCCTACAGTCTGTGTACAGCTTCTGAGAATCGCTGCTGCAGAGCCGTCACACTTTAGAGATTAACCCTGTGCATGTTCATAGTCTTTGAAAGTGAAGGCAGCTGAGGTAGTAGAAGCTACATATCACAGCCCTACTGGAAGCTTCATTCATCTACTGCTGCATCTCCCATTTCAAGGAAATTCTTGTGTTCTTTAATTTATCTACTCCTCCAATTCTGCCACTGTTCTTGCTCAAGGTATTGAGCCTCTCATCTATTCTTCTGCAGATGCTGATGGCCCTGCTCCCCTGGAACTGCCCAACCAGTGGCTCTGGGATATCATTGATGAATTCATATACCAGGTATGTGGCTATAAGTCTAGACCATTTTGGAGTGGCTTTGTCTTTATTAGTTGTATGAATTTTCCATCTCTTCTCTTGCTGTGATTTTCATAGTGAGGATACCACTGCACGTAAAAAAAACCTTCGGTGAGCTCTTTAGGGAGTCCTGAACTTTTGTGGATATTTCTGTTTCAGAACACAAGTTTTGTGTTTCTTAGTCAGTTGGGCCTTTATGCTTGCACTGAGAGATTGATGACCTGCTTTGAAATAAGCTCTCGTCTAAGATCTTAACATTAGGAAATATTTTTACACTTATTTTTCTGAGTGCAGCAGTACAGATCTCAAATGCTGTTGTTTTTTCTCTGTAGATTCTTTTATCTGTAACTTTTTACTATAGAACTGCCTGTAATTCCTCAAATGCTGTCTTGTCAAGCTTAACGATGAAAAAAGGGATATGTGCATATATAGAAAAAAGATGTGTGTATGCAGACTCATCTTCTGATTTGGTCATTCTCTTTGCTACCTGTTCAGACAGCAAATTTGTGTTTAGTTGCCTGTCCTAATTGTCTTAAGAGATATTTCTCTGCTTCAATCTGTTTTCTGGCCTTTTCCCTTTGTACTGTATCATTTTTTCCCTACGTGCTTTAAAAGTGATATAATTTACCATTTTGATTTCCAGGTGATCTCAGACGAAACTCTTTTTATTTTTTTCATGCAACTTTTACTTTATTGTATTGCATTTGTGTGAGCAACTTATAATCTTAGTGCACTCAGCTGAGCATCTGCAAACAAGCTGTTCATCATTGAATCTCTGCTTTTTCCTGTAGTTCCAGTCTTTCAGCCAGTACCGCTGTAAGACAGCCAAGAAGTCTGAAGAGGAAATCGACTTCCTTCGCTCCAACCCCAAGATCTGGAACGTCCACAGTGTCCTTAATGTGCTGCACTCTCTGGTGGACAAATCCAACATCAACCGA